GGGCACCCCCTCCAGGGCGCGGCTGGCCTCACGGGGCTTTCTTTAGCCCAGCCTGAACCTCTTGTGTGTCAACATCTGCCTGTTGTCTCCTGTCCTCCTGCCACACCACCGCTGTGAGGAGCCTGGGTCTGTCTTCTCAGGCACCTCCCCACAGGCACTGGGGGCTGTGGTTGGGTCCCCCCCCCCAAGCCATCTCACCTCACAGTGCTCCAGCCCCAACCGTCCTGGTGGTGTCCAACAAACTTGGTCCTGTTTACAGACACCTTCCCTGAAAGGGGCATGGGAGGAAGACTGGGGACAGACTCCTAGATGTGGTCTACCGAGTGCCAAGTAATGGGGGATAATCAGTCTCCTTGATCTACAGGCTCTGCTCCAGGATGCTGTTGGCCCTTGTTGCTGCCAGGGCCAGCTCAGCGCACTGCCCACCAGGGCCCCAGCGCCTTCCCCACAGAGCTGCTCCCCAGCTGGGCACTCCTGGTCTCTACTGGTGCCCAGGCCTCGTCCTTCCCAGGGGCAGCAGTCCCCCATGATAACCAGGCTTTGTGACAGAGACTTCCTTGGGTTGTATCAAAAGACTTAATCCACTTCCTTATCCTGATCGAGTGGTCTGTAACATGCTCCCACCAAGGTGTCGCCCTCACTGGCTTCTCTTCTGATCCTGACGTGCAAGCTCTGACCCAGCCCATTGCCCAGCCCATACAAGAGCTCCACATACCCAAGATGCTGCTTCACAGAGAGGGCAGTATCATTGGCGCTCATGTGGACAAGCAGTTGGGGGTAGTAAGCTGAAGGATGGGTGAGCCTTGGCAGTGTCCTTGCAACACGTTGGATCCAAGCCCCCAGCAAGCAAAAAACCCATACAGCAAGTCAGGTTGGCAGATGGGGTCCTCCATCCTTCACAGCACGGAGTCACCCACTGTTCCAATCCACCACTTTCTCCTGGTGGTGCTGCTGTGTGGTTCAGGCTTGGCCAACTGTGGTGCTTCCCCACATAAGCCTTCCTCCCTGCCATCTGCTACCAGGGCATGGAGCCTATACTCCAGTTGCAGATTTGCAGGTGGAGAAGGAGCTGTCTTCCTGTTGCTAGAAGTCACAAGCTTCCAGCCTTCCCCATCATGGGAAACCCTCCATTTTCCCACACCGGACCACAATCTAGCTGCGCCTCCTTCTGTGCAGTTTGGGCTCTCACTTCCACAGGGTCTCCGGGAAGACCCTGTCAAACTCTTTTTCATCTTCCCTGGTACTGCACAGTCTGCTGGACTCCTCCTCAAGCTCCTTAGATTGGCAACAATTCCTCACCACTGCACACATCCAGCAAGCAAGAGCACCACCTCTGCAGGGTGGTCCCTGCAGCCCCAGGCCTCCGAAACTGCAGCTCCCCATACTAGGTCTGGCTGGGATGGAGTTTCCTCACAGCAGCCCATATGATGCTGTGCTTAGGGTTTGTGACCAGTGTTGATAACACACCAATGTTTTAGCTGTTGCTGAACAGTGCACACTGTCAAGGCCTTCTCAGTGTCTCACTCTGCTCCCCCCAGCAAGTAGGCTGGAGGTAGGGAAGAGGCTGGGGTGGGGGAGAGGTAGGACAGCTGACTTGAACTCACCAGAGAGATATTCCACAGCACATAATGTCATGCTCAGCAATAAAAACTGGGGGTGTAGTCTTTCCAAAGTAGCCATTGCTCGGAGACTGGCTGGGCATCAGCGGCCTCCTTGTGGGAGGTGGTGTGTGATTGTCTTCGTATGTTTTTTTTTTTCCCCTCTTTCCTTCACTTACTAAACCATCATTGTCTTGACCCACAACTTTTCTTGCTTTTGCTCTTCTCGTTCTCCCCCCGCGGAGCAGTGAGCTAGCAGCTGGCTGGGGTCAACCCACCATGCCCACAAAGCTCTGTGTGAGCAGAGGCCTCTGCTGAGCCAGGGCAGGCTCCCCAGTCAGTGCTGGGGACTGTGTCGCGTGCCACTGCACCACCACCCGCCTCCTGCCTTGTGAACAACCCCCTCTCTGCCCTTTCTTGCAACATTACAAGTCTGCCCGAATTCCTCCCAATCCACGCTCACCCAGCTCTTGAATGCTGTCACACTGCACTCACAACAAACAGACCCTTAGCACAGGCATCTGCTGCTCTGGGGTGAGGCTTCCTACTGCCTCTCACGAGGTCTTTTATCAAGAGACTGTAAGCCCACCTTGACACCCCTGCGTGACTGTCCCTTAACTCATGAGCACTGTCACCACTGCATGCTTCACCCAGCACGCCGCCCTCACAGTATATAAGAGGCTGTTGATGGTCTGTATGTGAGGACAAGGAAAGAAGCTTTTGCTTTGGAAAAAAAAGAGTGTTTTGCAATGTTAGGTGTTTACTTTCTATGAAGGTCACGAGACCTTTTGTGATTGCAGAGTTATTTGAAAACATGATCTGCAAAGCTTCAAACAAAAAGGCAGATTTGCACGTTAATTTCATAGCAATTTACTATCTAAGACATGATTACTTTGAAGTAATCTTAGTCCTTGGAATTGGCAAAACCAAGTAGATGTCTTAGGAGAGTCTCAGAGAAGTGGATGGAGTAAGGTTAGATTTTGTGGGAAAAATATGGCAGACAATAGTCAGCTAAACTGTCTCAACCAAGTATTTTTTTTTTTTTTTTTTTACAAAGCATGAATTTCTTCAAGTATTCTAAGATGCAGACTATACTCTCTGCATGCCGTTCTGAGGGTGGTGTTTTGGGATTTTGTTGTTTGTTTGCTTTTTTAAGGAAGAAAAATATTTAGTCCACATGGTGGCTTTCATTTCCAATTACTTCACAAACCAATGTACATATTGCAGGTTAAATTGTTCTGAGCAAGCAGGTCACACGTCAAACATAAAATCCATGTAATTATAAGAGAATTGACTCCCACTATTAGTAAAATGGCCTTGGGCCCTGACTTTACAAAGGCTTACACAAGGCTACAGAGTTATGAGTAATCTTAAGTAT